CACACCCACCCACACCCACACCCACAGCCTCTCATTTGATAGAATTAGAGACACAGACAGTTGAAAAAATGTATTTATGAGATGCAATCACATTCAAAGAAAAAGAGAATGAAAGAAAAATGAAAGTTGAAATTTCTTCAGGAACCTATTATTGACACTTTCTACCTTCGAATAGCTGTTTAGTGTACAGACATGAAAAAGAGAAAAAAAAATAATGGTAACAATAATAAAAAAAAACATAATTGTGCATTTTTTATAGTGTTTAATCGTCTCATCTTTGTTTTTTTTGCTACTTCCGAATTAAAAATAAAGGATTCATGTCTTTAGTGGTGTGGTCGATCAATGCAAGAAAGAGAAAAGAGGGCTTGTACGGATATTTGGTTTTCATTTCAATTAAAAAAGTTGTCGATTTATTTAGAGTAGCTCTCTGTACATATTCCATGAACCTATGAGAAAACCTGTGAGCAATTAATTTACATATGTAATCCATCCTTTTCTTCTTGTAGTTTAATGGAGAAATCATATGAATTTGATTAAAAAAAAAACAAATTTATTCATTAGATTGAAAACTATTAATTAGTCATGTAAATTACAGACAAATTGTCTAGTTGTCATAACGAACTTAGTCTCACATATTTAACTTCTATATATCGTACGACTATGAAAATAGATGTCTCATGTGCAACTCTTCTGAGAACAGTATAGTTGAAAAGGATTTAAAAAGAACAGAACGAAAAAGCAAGGTAGAAACGAAAAATAAAGTGTTGTCTTGACGAAGAAATAACAGACGTATTGAATAAACAAAACATTCGTCAAATTTGGAATTTATGATCGCTGAAGATTACTCAGTATAGTTTGTTTTCATTATTCGACTTTAATGAGTAACTTTCGTGCGATGATTTGTAAGGATAGGAAAAGTATTTTAAATTCATAAACAGTGTGAGCATATAATTAGAATACTGATTAGAGAGATTTTGACAGATATAAAATCAATACTTTAATTGTCAAGTAAAAGTTAGAGCGACGACCATCTGATAAAAAAATCGTTAGTAAAAATGATGACAAATAACTTTCTACGAAAACTGATTCCGTTCAAGTCTTATAAGAAAACCTGAACATGGAAACGAAGATCTTTGAACTTCACAACAAAATTTTCATGATAAACAAAGATGGGATAGGTTATAAAGTAGTGCACAAGCATCCAAACAAACTTTCTCACTCAGCATATCATGATATCATATTGACTAAGAGAAGATGTAGGTCTAGCATTTTATCTGCGCCAACACTCATCCATCTTCAAGAAAGACATTCTCCCAAGGAAAAAAAAGCTGATTCTAAGCGCCTCTTTAACAAACAGAAATTGTTAAAAATATGAATTTTATCATCTCATTAACTTTTTCAGTTATTTGACCATGTGATCTTTAATCGACTTTCAGGACAGTAGTTATATAATGGCTTCCTTTCAAGTTTTAACGGAGAAACTCGAAATTGTGGTCATTGTTCAAACTTTTTAGCTTACAAAATTGTGAACGTTACACTAGAAAAAGTTTCAATAATTTCGATTGAAACTGACTATTGTATGAACGATCAATTACTATTTAGAGTGATACTTTTAGATCTGATAAAATCTTCACTTGTTAGCTTGAGATATATATTTGAGAGCAGTGGACAACAAATCTATCGGTGAGATAAATGCTCGTTTCAAGCGAAAAACTGATATTCAGGTCAAAAGTGCATTTTCTTTTCATTATGTTCATATAGGACGACCGCCATATACGCATTTACATACGTGTCCACATAAATGATCTATCCTATCGCTTGTAATAGATAAGTCTTTTTCATGTTAATGACAACGTAAAGGAAAAGTGCAAATTACTGATGCACATTAATTTATTCAGTCACAAAGATTCTTTCAAAAAAGGAATTTATGAGGTGATCGTTGGAAAAATGGTGTGTACTACCACTTGTATAGATGTATGTTCACTGCGCCATTTCTTTCCATTTTTCCTTCACACTATTACGAAGACTCAAGTTTCATCTATGAGAGTCCTAGGATACATACTTTCCACACTGATCAGTGCATAAGTGCATTTTTCTTGAAGCATCTTTCCTATTGAATCAATCATTCTTCTCATTGATTTACATCATTACTCTACACTTGTACTAGCACTAAACATTCATCTATGCAAATCCTGAGATACATCATTTTTACGATGATAAGCTCAAAAATTCATTCTTAAAGCATCTTTTCGGCTGAATTAATCGTTCTTCCCGTTGATTCGAATTTTTCCTGGGCATGTCCAGTAACACTAAAGACATGTCTACAGAAGTGCTAGTTTACACAATTTTTTCATTGATCAGCTTATGAGCTCATTTTTCTGGACATTAGACCCTATTGAATAAATTATTTTATTTTTCCGTTAATTTTTTTCATTCTTCTCAGAGCAAGAGCTATGAGGGAGTCTGAAAGAATAAAGTTAATGGCATTTGCTTACTGTATGATATTTTCAGAAACTACTTTTGACCTGAGTGTCATTTTTTCGCTTGCAGATTCCATTTTTGTCACCGATCAATCGAATGTCCAACCCTCGAAAAGAAGAAGTAAGAAAAAAATAGATGACATCATTTTTCTACTAGGAAAAAGTTATTTCGTTATGCTGCAAAAAATTCTCTTTGGTGTTCTTTCATTTTTCTGATAGAAAACTCACATGTATGTTGGAAAGAAGAAGTAGGAAAAAAAATTGCCATCATTTTTCTACTGGAAAAAGTTATTCCATTATTCTACAAACATTTTTCTCATGTATTCCTTTACTCTCGTGGCTTGTTTTTTTTGCGATGAATAATAGGTATTCAATTTGGAATATGAAGAAGTGTTATAGTGATTAACATTTTCGACTTTAGTGACATTTTTTCTATTGAAATCCGCATTTATGTCACCGATCAATCTACTGCCCAACCATTATGTTTGGTAAGATTTCGATTTTTCTTAATCATTTTCGAGAAAATAATTTTGATCTATAACATTGCATTAATTGATTTAAAATTAAATAAGAGCAGTAAAATAAAAATTTATTTTTGTTATGAAATCAACCATTAATGATAATAAAACAGTATCATTTAAAAGCGTTGTTGTTTTTAATAGAAAAACAATCGATTCAATTCTGATATTCTCTCAAAATTGTTCACATGGATAGTTTAAATTGTAACTGTTAAGGATTTGAAAATTTCATTTAAATAGTAAATAACAGTAAGACATTAGTTCTATTCGATGGTATACCTCATCAACACATAAAGTAGAGTCGACAAGTACATTAAGCTTTTTTGTAGGAGACATATTATTATAATATTGTTATTCTGAGTCAAAGTAGATCATACCATCAAAAGGTGGCCTGATTTCGAGGTCCGACATATTCGAATAAATGTACGACAATCAAAACTAGAATTTTGTTAAGCAATAAATTTCTTAAACTAGTCAAGAATAAAAATTGTTCTTCATACATCAATAGTCAATAACAAAGAAAAATGCATATATTGAAAAATATTCATTTGTTTTCAAATTAAAGACTACATGAAGAAAAGTCAATTCACTTTCATAAATGAGAAGTAATCGAAATTCTATTCTTCGTGGCGATCACTCAGCAGGAAAAATAAGTAAATGTATTTAAGAGGTGTTGTATGTTTTTTACCATGGCAAATGAAATATTTATAAGAAAAGATACATAAATCTTGAGTAAAGAATTTATTCCCTCGATGAGTATTACTGGTAGTGTCACATGCGATCGTATGGCAGGTCTATATTTCGTTCCTTCGACAAAAACTTCTCTCATCTCCACTAATAATTAGAAATCTATCAGAAATACAGTTAGAAACGTTCCAGAGACACCTATTTTTTTTTAAACATTTGACAAAGTCATTTATGATAATAATTTTGATTTCATAAATGAAGTTTTTATTGATTGACCTATTTCTTATAGATAGCAACTCAAAAGGTCAAAAAATGATCACTTTCGCACGAAATGCATGTATGCCATAATATTTTTCATGAGGAATATTTGCGTGTTTACATCAAAATAAACTAGTCAATTGGCATTCACCTATAGCGAAGTTATTTTTCTCAGAATATAAATCTTCATAAGCTTTATCTACTGAAATTCATATATTGTGCTTCTTATTTGGATATATGACTCATTAAGGTAA